GTATTCCCTCCCCACCCCAGGCCAAGTGGCAGAACCAGGTCTTCAAAGCCCTACAGAAGCCTGGGAGTGAGGGGGCCAATCGCATCTCTGGGGGCAGAATGTTCCAAAGTGCGGGGGGCTACCGCAGAGAAGGCCCGCCTTCTGGACCCCGCTAATCGAAGTTCTTTTACTGAGGGGGTCCAAAGCATGCCCGATCTGTGTGATCGGGTGGGACCGGTTGAAGTCACAGGGGAGAGGCGGTCCCTTAAGTAACCTGGTCCCAAGCCAAGGAGGGCTTTAATGGTAATAACCAACACCTTGAATTGGACCCGGAAGCAAACTGGTACCCAATGCAGCTTGCGGAGCAGTGGCGTTACATGGGCCCTCCTTGGGGCTCCAAAAATTGCCTATGCAGCTGCATTCTGGACCGGCTGTAGCTTCCAGATATTCTTCAAGGGTAGCCCCATGTAGAGTGCATTTTTACCATTCCCATGTGGAAAAGGGCTGGGCAAACAATTAATTAGCCACCTGTCTTTGCTTATCCCACATTTACCAAAAGAAGAAGGCACTGTATAGGTAAAATCCCAGGGAAATGACATTTTGAGCATTCCCAAATTAGGAAGGCACAAACTATCTGCAGAGATCTTATGTGCTGGATGGATTAGCTCCATAAACCTGATAAGGGGCTTATAGGCCAGATGTTCCCAGACCTGTCTTAGAAAAAAAAAATAATGGGAATGAGGATATGACAGAGATTCAAACATCTATGCTTAGAGAAAATTGAGACATGATTTCCTTGGTCCTTCTGATTAGCAGTAGATTCAAGACAGACAAAAAGAAATACTTCATAAAAAATAATGTAACAATACACTAGTAATTTATGGAGTTTGATAAAACAATTTATGGGGATGGTCATTTGTTTAGATGGATTTAAAAGGAACTAAAGCAAGAACATTAAGATTAATCAATGGCTACTATTAAGTTAACTAGATGAAACCCTTCCCAACTAGGTAACTGCATGTAGCAAACCATGGGTAATCAAGAAAAGCAAGCAGGGGTAGCCCTGGTTTGTAATTTGATTGGGACCATCTGGGAAGTAAAGAAAATTCCTGGAGAAAGCAGTGGCAATCATATCAGTTCATGTAAGTTACTAGGAGATCAGCTTGACTCAAGATGAAATCTAAATATTCAGAGGTAGTATGTATCTGAATATTAGTTACTGTTATTTCTTTCATATCCTCTTTATGGATATGACTCACTAATCACCATGAGAAACAGAATTCTAGAAAAGATGGACTTTTACTCTTGTGATATTTGTGTTAATGCTGAGTTGGGAAGAGGTCTCTTTAGAATAGTGAACGCTAGATAAATGTTGCATTGAATTCTGGAGCATATTGGCAGTTAATGCAGCTTATGCAACCTTGTATCATAGGAGGCCATTGACCTGTTCCATCTAGAAACAATACCTGCATTTTCTAATAATTCTTCAAGAGCATAGTATAGTAGTCAAGCCCTGAAATTAAGGAGCAGGAGGAAGAGTTATGTGTCATAAAAGACTGGAGTGAAATGAATTAACAATTATTAAATTAAGGGAGACTTTCAGTACTCCTAACTATAATTGCACTATGCAAAAATTTTAGTAGTGTGGTGCTCAAATTTCACAATTCCTGAATTTCTGCCCTTTCTAAATTCTTACAGACTTTAAGCTTGGAAATACTGTAAGAGTTGTTTAAATGGATTACTATATGGCGTGAATACAAAAGTAGCCCAGTTACTCTCACATGTAAAAATGAAAGCCAAAATATTACCGATATAGACCGACCTTTAGTTCTCCTGTAGCTACTTTAAAAACAAGCTCTACGACACAGCCAACAGCAAGACGAGCAGCACTGAATGAATGCACTTCATTCCAAATTGTATCATTGTCCACCTAAATAAAGATGGATTCAGAAATACTGTAAAGGCATCGTTGTGGATTCTGAAACAATTTAGTCTACAAAGAGCACAGCATGCTGACTTCTGGAACTGTTAAATCATAACTGTAGTGTTATTATTATCAGTGCAGATAAATACCAAAAAGTGAATTACTCTCCAACCCAAAATTGATAGCAACAGCAGCACCACCATCACAAATTTACATATTTCTTTGTCTTTTCTTTAAAAAGAAGATATCTTTAGCTGAAGATAAACTGCTTATACCTATCTAGGAATAATCAGCCAGCTACCTTTTTCTTAAAGACTGAAGTGTTAACAGAAGTCAGCAGACAGCACAGCTCTGCTGAAGAAGGAATCCTGGAAAAACTGCAATATCAAGATTATAATGCTGTAGGAAGGCAGTCCTACATATATTGGTAGAAGATCCTTTGGAAAGGAGATTGTGGGTATTTGGCTAACTGGTAACATAATTTGTTTATCCATGTAAGTCATTTAGAAAGTTTCTCGGAGGAGACAACTGTCTTGCTTTTCCAGGCCCTGATAACAAAGGAAAAAGTTTGATCTGCACAACAACCAACTGTCCTGTGCAGTTAGGACTAGACATTAAGGGTGCAAAGTGATTGCTCCAGAGGAATTAGGAAAGAAAACTGGGAGAATTATCTTCTACATATATTTTAGCTCTCCTATCCTGTATATCAGCTGTTTTTTCTTAGAACTAAGGAGGAGTTTGCATCTCACCATTAGAGCAAGTAAAGCAATCTTTTTTTCTACTTTAAAAGATTGATGGACATTCCCAAACACCACTTGGCTAAACTCTACTATTTGGATAAGAGGTGGCAAGACAGAAACCTATATAAAGAAGATTGCTCAACACACAATAGAGAAGGACAACAGACAAGATATGAAAACCAGATTGCTCAGTGGGTTCTGCATATACATTTGGTAATAACTGATGTTTTTTCTTGCCAACACTGACTTAACCTGCATTTGTGGCAGGCCTTCAGTGGGCTATGTTTTCAGACCACAGACTCTGCCTAGTGCAGTGGAAGATACATTATATGCCAATTTCTCAATGAATTTGTTTCTATGAAATTTCACATACTGAGGAATTCCACTGTTCATTTTGTCTTATTTTGCAAACTATAGGAGATACAGTGGGGCAAAAAAGTATTTAGTCAGCCACCAATTGTGCAAGTTCTCCCACTTAAAAAGATGAGAGAGGCCTGTAATTTTCATCATAGGTATACCT